AAAAAGTTTCTTGGGCATTTTGAATAGTGGATCTTGGGGGGGGGGGGGGGGGGGGGGGGGGGGGGGGGGGGGGGGGGGGGGGGGGGGGTTGGGGGCCTTGCGACTTTAGAGAGGGCCCGGGGACATTGGGTTACCAAACTCGAGCCGGCTCAAAAGGCCTAAAAACCAAAGACATCTAATTTCTTGGAACTGCTTCTCTAGTTGGTCCATGAGGTGTGCCGTGGGGGGGGGGGGGGGTTAGCATATACTCGTAAACATAGACATATACATATATGTATATATATATATATCTGTATATTTTATTTATTTATTTACTTGTTTATCTATATCTTGTTTTTCTCCATCTTGACATCCCTTCATTGCCAGGTCGGTCTCCGTCGCCGTGCGCCGTGCGGGACAGACAATTGCCGATGCTTTCGTGCTTGCTTTGCGGAGTACATGCAGCAATGGTTGTTCCGACCTCCCCATGCAATGGCAGGAACGTACATTGACTTGGACAGCTTTGACAAGGCCTGAAACGGCCATTCGAGTGTTCTTCATCGTCCTGTGCCAGCGGTATTTGGCTGCAACTCCTGCAACCAGCTTTGCACGATTGTGCGTGCGACCCATGCAGTTCCGTCAAGAAGCATCGCCATCGAAGACGATCGGCATTTACATCTGTCATTCGCTTAGCTGGTACTAGCAGCAAAGTGCCCTCAAAGCCCAACGCGTCTAAGGGCAGCTCTGGAAGAGAGAGCAACTGACGCAGCACCGGAAGCTGGATGATTGTCCAACTCCTACCCGTACAGCTTGCACAACGTCTGACGTGGACCAGGACGGAAAGATTTAAAGAGCTTGTATTGGGGGGAGGTTAGGTCGGTTAGGTGCGCAGAAAGAAAGAAAAGAAAGAAAGGAAAGAGACGAAACGACAAGAAAAAGAAAGAGGGAAAGAGAAAGAGTGAGTGAGTGAGCCACCTTGGCTCAAGTTCCGGGGAGGAACCCAGCGGCGACTACCATGTGGTTAAGAACCCCCCAAGAAATAAGAAATACATTCTTCCTTAATAAGGGCAACATAGGGATCATCATTATTAGTTTTATTATTTTCTCATTTTTTGGGACTATTATTAATATGATTATGATTATTGTTCTTATTATTTTCATTAGTATCATCATTATTATATATATATATATATGTATATATATATATATGTATATTTGTGTATTTGTTTTTTTTTGCGGGGGCGGGGGGTTCTTAAGCAAAGAGGAGTCGATCTGGGGCTTGTAAGCCAGCCGTGCTGCTTCAAGCCTTCCGTTGCTGGTGTCCGAGACCGCTACCTGGAGGTTCATGGTACTTATTAGCCAAATAGAACTATAACTGTACTTTAAGTGGCTTATAGGTACAGCTTTAGTTGGAATTGGTTAATAAGTACCATGAACCTCCAAGTAGGGTGTGTTGGGGATGTTCGGTTGTTCTTGTGGGGTCGGGGGGGGTGGGGGCTGCAAAGTAGTGTGAACTCTAGGAGGGCAGTAGTCCAAATTCCAACACCGACCGATGGGCGTGCGTGCATGTTTTGGCTTGCTGCCTCCTCCCATTTTGAGTTCACGCTCCAGCCACAGCAAGGCGACTGCGAGAGAGAGGGAGAGAGAGGGAGAGAGAGATAGTATATAAAGAGAGGGACAGAGAGAGCAGCTGTTGAGGGTTGAGTCTAACCTCCGATGCCGGCCGAGTAGATGTTGTGTTACACACATGGCTGCATGCAACAGGAGGAAGCAGAGGTCGCTAGAAAGGTACCATTGCGCTCGCAAATCTTGTTCTTGTTTGCTCTTGACACATCGGCGCATAAGCATGTAGAGGAGGAAGCGGAGGCGGCCAGAAAAAAGAATCGAGGCGTGCAGTGCTGGGCAGGCCAGTCGAGTTCTAACCTACGCTGCTGTGTCGCAAACATGGGCACATGCTGGTGCAATAGTGCTAGACTTGGTGATAGCATTGAGCATGGAACATGCAACAGGAAGAAGCAAAGGCCGCCAGAAAGCTAGCTGAGGTGGCCGCCATTGCTCCGACAAATTTCGTTCTTGTCTGATCTTGGCACTACTGCACCACGCAAGCATGTGCAGGAGGAAGCAGAAGCAACCAGAAGAAAAGCCGAGATGTGCATGTAAATAGCTGCAAGGTGAACTGTCAGAGGGTTTTGGGTTTGGGATTTAGGGCTGCTGTTCAGGATTTAGGGTTGGGGGTTGATGGAGAGTTGAGGGTATAGGGTTTACGGTTACGAATTCAGGGTTTAGGATTAAGGGTTTAGGGTTGACTGGAATGAGGCTCACAGCCCCAACTTAGCCCTCAAACCTAAGCCTCAACCCACAACCCCATGAAGAGGAGAACCCTATTAACCCCATCAACCCCGAACCCAGAGAAGCCTCAACCCCCAACCCTCCATCCCTCAACCCTCAACCCCCCCATCAACCCCCAACCCTACGAGCCAAAGTTTAGGGTTTGGGGTTTAAGAGTTTCAGGCCTCATAGCGCCCACTCTACCCTGCAATAATACAAGGTTAAGGGCGAAACTCATAAGAAAATCACCCCGTTCAGAATTCAGAAAATTCAGAAAAATTCCGAATTTTCTGAATTTTGTCCTCTTGTATTTAGTACTCGGACCACGAAAAATTCAGAAAATTCCGAATTTTTCCGAATTTTCTCGGTTTGGGATTTCGAGTGGTCGGGCTTGATTGAGGGGTTTAGGCTTTGGGTTTAGGGTCTAGGGTCTAGGGTTTAGGGTTAGGGTTGAGGGTTTACCATGCATTAAGCTTGCAGTAGATTTCGTATGGGGTCGTCCTTCAACTTCTAAATCGTCTCAAATATGGGTTTTATGACGTTGATTCCCACCCGCAGGCACTGTCCCCAACATTTTTTGGTGGCCCCGAAACCAAAAACAGCTGCAAGTTAAATAAGTTGTATTTAACTTGCAGCTGTTTTTGGTTTCGGGGCCACCAAATTTAGGGTTTAGGGTTTTAGGGCTTAGGGTTTAGAGGGTTTAGGGTTTTCGGGTTTAGGGTTTAGGGTTGAGGATTTAGGGTTTAGGTGTTAGGGTTTAGGGTTCAGGGTTTGGGGTTTAGGGTTTTTAATTAGGGTTTAGGCTTAGGGTCTGTGGAGCTTTAAGTAAAGTGAACCTATGGATACAAAAGAGGTTCAAGTAAATTGCAGAAATATAAAGGAGAAAGAGTTCGGGACAAACCAAAGGGACACCAACTTCACTGGTGCAGTTATAGCGCAGCTCTAAAATTCGTTTCTTTGTTTCTGGTCTTCCCCTTCCTCAGAAAAGCTAACATTTTCTAACATTTTCTAACTTTTCCTAACTTTTTTGGCTAACTTTTCTAACTTATCTTAACTTTTCTAAGGTGGTTATAACCTTTATAAGTCCTGCTAACCCAAAAATGACGTATTAGTAGCACTTGAGACAGCTTATGTTAGATGACTTTGTTTGGGGGGATCCCTGTCATTCAGGATCCGACTATCTCAAGCCCATTTCAAAGAGGGTCCTCCAGGTGGTACCCCTCTTGTTTTTTTCCCTAAACCCTTAACCCGGTGCCAAAAAAAACGGGATGCCCCAACAATTGAAAACCCTCTTCAGTACCCTATACTTCCAGGGACCTAACAATTAGGTTGCTCGACCCCTTAAGGTTCACTTGGTGCCCTAAACCCCAAAAACCCTAAAAAACCCTAGAAAACCCTAAAAGCCCTAAATACCCCAAAAACCCTAAATACCCTAAATACCCTAAAAACCCTAAACCCTAAACCTGAAAGTATAGGGTAAATCACTCAGGGCAAATTGCTTCCGCCCGTCGCGAGCGCTCGGCCCAAAAGCTTGGCCAGTCGCCCACGTTTTGTGCGTTTAGCGGGCAGTCGGAACCCCAAAACCCGAAACCCTTAACAAAACAAAAGCCTTAGGGTTTAGGGTTTAGGGTTTATAGGGTTTAGGGTTTAGGGTTTAAAGCCGTGATGCAACCTACACGGCCCCTATAATATCAAGCCCCCTAAGCGGAGAAAAACCCGAAAAGATCACCCAGAATAAGAGCCTCGAACCCCGAAACCCTAAACCTCTAAGCCGCCCTCAACCCTAAACCCTAGAAACCCTCTAAGCCCTGGAAACCCTATTGACCGTAAGCCCTATAAACCCTAAACCCTATAAACCCTAAAAGCGTGACAAGCCCTAGAAACCCTCCAAATCCTACAAACCTTATAAACCCTTACCCTAAACCCTATAAACCTTTATAAGCTGGAGCAGCTGGCGCTCACGGTCTGACGGCCTGGCGAGGAAGTGGAGTGGGTGGCTTTATGGGGTTTAGGGCTTAGGGCTTAGGGCTTAGGGCTTAGGGCTTAGGGCTTAGGGCTTAGGGTTTAGGGTTTAGGGTTTAGGGTTAACTTATAATTAACTAGGGTTCTTCGGGTTGAGGGTTTAGGGTTTGGGGTTTAGGGTCTGTTTTTTCGAACCTATCGGGTTTCCCCTTTTCCCCCCCTCCGATGACGGGTTTGGGGTGTGTGGTTGCCCCTTCCTTCCCATCTCTTCTCCCCCGCCCCCGCCCCCTTCTTGTGGTGCGTGCTGGGTTAAGGGTCAGGGTTTAGGGTTGGGGGGGGGGGGGGGAGGGAGAACGCGGAGCGCGGACGCACACACGGGGTTCGGGATCGCCCAGGCTGGCATTCTTTGAAGGGTCAGCTCCGGGCTCGAGACATGACCGCTGATTCAAAACTCCCCTTCGTTTTCGGCTTTTAGAACAGAAGGATCCCTTTTTGTGATCCGTTCGAATGGGCCATGGTTTGTGCATTCATTCAACTGCATTCTGCACTCTTTTGATTGCGCTGTGGGTCATGACTTGCGGTTTCGTTATTGCATCGAACCCTAAACCCTAATTTAGGGGTCGGAAGAATTTCTAACAGTAGTCCCTCAGGGTTGTTCTAGAGTTATACAAACATGACACCCAACACCCTATTCTAATTATTCAGGCCCCTTTATTACCTAGACAGGAGCCATGGTTCACGTCGATGGACCTGGCGGAGTCAAGCTGCCGGTCACGCTGCTGAGCGGCTTCCTGGGTGCTGGCAAGACGACCTTACTGACACACGTCCTGAACAATCGTGAAGGCCCTCAACTTGTCGACCCTAAACCCAAAATTGTATTTCGTGAAGCCTTCGATCCTGTTTGGTTTAGGGTTCGGACAGGTTTATAGGGCTGCAGGCATAACACCACCACCACCAGCAGCACCACCACCAATCACAACCACTGCGACTACCACTACCACGACCACGACCACGACCACTACCACTACCACTAACCGCAACCAGTACCACTATCACTACCACTACCACTACCCTAGGGACTCCGAATTGAAACCATGCTTTCCCTTACTTTGCCTTCTTAAGACCTAGTCGGACCTAGTCATTGGCTAATGTCCAACAAAAGTGTCCACATGAGAATCTCTCTCTTACGCATTCGTTTCACAAGGCTGCGAATCTGCTTGGCCTGAAGGAGTGGGGGTGGTTGGGGTTGGCTACGACTATGTCAATGTTAATTAAACCATGCCGAAAACACTGGCTTTTGTGGTGCTTGTGTCTCGTTATACAACATGATGCACAAGGATGTTGAACGAGACGGGCTGTCACAAGCCTTTTGCGAACATGTCCACAGCACTGGAATATTCAGTGCTGTTGCTTATCCCTACATACCGATCAAAAACCTTCAAAAGTACGTTGCCGAAATAAAGCCCTCTATTCTTGCTTTCTTTGCCGCTGGTGCCTCTGCTACGATTACAGTCTGAACCGCCGTGAAGGCATCCGAGTGGCCGTCTTGGTGAACGACATGGCATCAGTGAACATCGACGCACAGCTTCTGCAGGACAGTGTTCAGTTCCACGAAAGTAAAGACAAGATGGTCGAGCTCCACAATGGCTGCATCTGCTGCACGCTGCGGGAAGACCTGATTGAGAATGTGCGCTCACTGGCGCTGGAGGGGCGGTTCGACTATCTTCTGATCGAAAGCACAGGCATCTCTGAACCCATGCCTGCTCCTTGGGGACTATATATCAACCCTAACAATTGTATCGTCCATATTACTAGTAGGAATATATCCCTAGTAGGGATTAATCATGGTAGTATCGGGTATGATCCCAAGTTTCGGGTTCATTTTGTCCCTGAGGTTGCAGCCACCTTTGCAGCAACAGATGCCGCTGGAGTTCCGATGCTGGGTGGCGTCGCAGAGCTGGATACGCTGGTGACCGTCATTGATTGCCTGAACTTCCTCAAAGACTACCATTCGCAGGAGAAGGCCATCGATCGGAATGAGTTGGGAGCCGAAGAGACAGACCAACGGAGCATCGTGGATCTGCTGGTCGACCAGGCTTTGGGGTGTTCTTAAACTGACGGGAGGGGAGGGCTGCCTTACCAAAGGGTTTGGGGCTCCCCTGGAGCAAAATGAGCTCCTGACAATAAGGATCCCACAATATTTTCAGGACATGTTGGGATTTCTGACGCCAGTACCCTAAAATTGAATCCCTCAACATACGTTCGGATTTCCCTAAATTGTTCTGACCTGGTTGAGATTGCCATGTAGGCTTTGGGGTTTAAGGTTCAGGGTTTCGGGCAGAAAAAAGGTTTAGGGTTTAGGAACCATGCAACTAACCTTGAAATCTTGTGATCAGGTCGAGATTGCCAACGTCCTCATTCTGAACAAGACCGACCTGGTCTCTGCCAAGGAGCTGGAGCGCCTGAGGGGCATCTCGTCCCCTCACTGTGTTGCAGGGGCTTTAAAGGGGCGTTATAAAGAGTTTAGGGATTTAGTGTCTAAAGTGGGTTGAGTCTTTGGTTCCGACGGATATCTCGCGTAGAGCCCGGATGCAAGGGGGGGGTCTAAGGGTTTTTCGGGGTTCAGGGCTTAGAACTTGGGGGGCTTAGGAACAAGGAGCCTTCCTAAAACCCTGAAAGCTTAACCCCCGCCCCGGACGCGGTCTCAGGTATCTTCAAGAAGCTGAACCCAAGTGCTCAGCTGATCGAGAGCCACTCGGCAGGCCACTGGGATGGTTTGTATTTCTCACAAACACCGAAAAACACACTGAGAACCGATCAGAAAACGACTAGGACTCCCCTAAACCCTAAACGGCTAAACCGGGTGCGCGAGTGCTGGGCGGGAGGGGGATAAGATGAAGACCCTCTAAACCCTCAAGCAACCCCTAAACCCGAAACCCTAACCCTATAAACCCTAAACCCCAAACCCTAAACCCTAAACCCTAAACCCTACACCCTAAGCCTAACCTTTAAATGGCCAAGCTAGGCCAGTTCGGTGCTGTGCAGCCGAAGCTTCTGATGAACACGCGCAGCTTCGATCTGGAGCCTGAGAGATCCCACAGCCTTGGGTTTAGGGTTTAGGGTTTAGGGTTTAGTTAGGGTTTAGGGTTTAGGGTTTAGGGTTTCGGGTTTCGGGTTTAGGGTTTAGGGTTTAGGGTTTGTGTGCTACTGCTTGTCGGGTTCCTAAGCCCTAAGCCCCAAACTCCTAATCCCTTCTTGCTCCTCTAAAGCAATCCTTAGACAAGGAGCCCCTAAACTCTAAACCCTAAACCCTAAACCCTAAACCCTAAACCCAAAACCCACTAGGAGGGTGCCAGCTCCCTCCCGGGCTGGGTGGCGGAGCTCCAGGGCCGGACTTCTCCGCACAAGCCGGAGACCGAGGAGAGGTTTTCAGAAAACGAGGGGTTAGGGTTTAGGGTTTAGGGTTTAGGGTTTAGGGTTTAGGGTTTAGGGTTTAGGGCTTAGGGTTTTAGAGGTTTTTGTGGGTTTTAGGGTTTTAGGGCTTTAGGGCTTTAGGGCTTTAGGGTTTTAGGGTTTTAGGGTTTCAGGGTTTTAGGGTTTCAGGGTTTCAGGGTTTCAGGGTTTTAGGGTTTCGGGTTAGTGTTGAGGGATTAGGGAAGACCTGAACATACCTGAACCTTCATGCGGTGCTTGCAAGAAGGATCCTGCACTTTAGGGCTCTGTGTTCAGGTCCCGTAAGTTCTGAAGCTCTTGGGAGAGTTTGAGATGTTTAAGCCTTAAATCTGGTTTCGCAGTCCTTAATATGAAGCCTTTCAAAGGGGTCTGCTTGTTGAAAGGACCATCCTTTCTGAACCAGAACCAGGTCATCGGAGCCCCATAAAGGTCTGGGGGTGTGGGTTGCTGGGGGTGTGGGTTGTTGTTGGTGTTTGTGTTGCAGCAGATCATGAGGAGTTTGGCATCTCGAGCTTCATCTACCGAAGGCGCAGGGGTGTTGTCGATCTTTTTTTGGGCCCTGAACCGCCAACCCATAAGCCAAACTCACCTAGAACCTCTAAACCACCCCAAAGCGTAAGCCTTGGGCCGTTCTACGGCGACGGACGGGAATAGGAACAACTCAAACCCCAACCGAAACCCTGAAGCTTAAACCCTCAGCCGCTCCATGGGAGAGGAATCGGATAAGCCCTGCACCTTCAATCCCCAACCCTAAAACCCAACAACCCCGAAACCTGCAACATAGACCCGAAAGACATGGATCCCTAATAATGACTTCCAAGGGACAGCGGGGACAAGCCCCATCTACTGCTGCGCCGTAAACCCTAAATCCCATAACCCTCTAACCCTCTAAACCCTAAACCCTAAACCCCAAGCAGGCTGCGCCCTTTTCACCCGGACCGGCTTGCCTCTCTCCTCGACGGCGCGCCGTTCAGATCCTTCGGCTTCCGGGACTCCAGGGTTTCGGGCCCATATGGGCACAAGAACCCGAAAAAGAGTGCCGTACCCGAAACCCGAAACCCTAAACCCTAAACCCTAAACCCGAAACCCTAAACCCTAAATCCTAAACCCTAAACCCTAAACCCTAAACCCTAAACCCTAAACCCTAAACCCCAAAATCCTTAGTGCCTGAGCAGGCCGGACCTTCCCAGGCGTCCTCCGATCGAAGGGATTCCTTTGGTCGGCGAGCCAGCACGCCACATCGCTGGAGTGGAGCCAGGTGGGCTGTCCAAGACTTAAGCGTGTTTTTGCCACCTTTTTGGGGGGTTAATTTAGGGGTTAGGGTTTGGGGTTCGGGTTTGGGGTTTAGGGTTTAGGGTTTAGGGTTTAGGGTTTAGGGTTTAGGGTTTAGGGTTTAGGGTTTAGGGTTTAGGCCCAGGTCCCAGTTGCAAAAAGGGTTTAGGGTTTAGGGTTTAGGGTTTAGGGTGGTTTTGTAAGTGGTGTTGGTTTTGGATTTGAGGGTTTTGGCTTTGGTGCTTGTATCAATAGGCAGTTCCACATCCAGGCTGGTTCCGTCATGTACCTGACCGAGGGATATGCCTGGCAACAGCTCCAGCTGCCGCCGCTGCCCAAGGATCGACTGAGGGAGGACAAATACTGTGGCCGCCGACAGGAGTAGCTGGTCAGAATTCTGACAGATTTTGCGGTTCTAGGGAAAGGGCTTAGGGCTTAGGCATTTTGATATATATATATATAATTATATATATAATTATATATATATATATATAGAATTATTCATTTTTATTTATTATTTTTTCTGGGTGGGGGGAGTGCTGAAGATCAGAATGAAAATGTCCAGAAATGTCCTGAACACCAGTCTTTGGGGAGCGGGGTTCGGCGTTTGTAGGTACACTGTCGAGTCAGCAGCTGACAGGCTGGTCTTGAGATTCTGCACCGCAGGGTTTGGGGTTAAGGGCCTCTTGTTGCGAAACTCCGCCGGCTCCTACCTCCCTACGACCGCCCGAAACCCCAAGTAACCCCAGGCCGCAAACCCCGGGCACCTTAAATGTGACGCGCGAAACCCGGCGGAGGCCGCCCTACACCCTTAGGCTGGTCTTCATCGGTGTCGACATGCAGCAGGACGACATCTGCAAGGCGCTGGACGAGGCGCTGGTGACGGAAGAGGAGACGGTTGTTGAACAACCATGTTGTTTTTTGTGTGTCAGCTCTATGAAGCCCAACCTTAGAGCTAAAGTTGTATTATAAAGAAAATATATACTTGACCCCAAGCCGCGCAGCGCCTCAAAAAGGAGTTCTCTGCTGGTCCCGCGGCGTGGGCCGGTTGGAGGAAAATCGCCTTGAGCCAAAACCATCACAACCACAGCCACGCCGGTCACTTTGGCACATAGGTGTGTAGCTTTTGTAGGGTTCAGGGTTTAGAAAAGGGAAAGCATCTAGGGTTTCAGGGCAGGATTTTTGTTTTGGGGGGTGTTGACTCCGGGACTCTTCAATCAGCGACTCTGGGGACTTTCTGTTTAGAGTTCAGGGTGTAGGGTTTAGGTTTCAGGGTTTTAGGGAGTTGGGGTTTCGGGGTCTAGGGTTCGGGCTTTCTAGGGTTACTTTAGGGGCTCTCATGCGACGAGCCAAGGTCATGACGATCACAGCTGCGCGAAGTCGGATGAGGTGGCAGAGTGGGCGAGCATGATGCGCGACTGGTTCCCTGAGGTGGGAAGAGCCGAAATCTACCAAACCACAAACTTGGGATGTTCCTGTCTTAGACTAGCAGTCCTTAATAGGGATTAGAATAGGGGATTCCTTTAATCCCTAGTAGTGACTGTGAGTATAAGGGGGAAACATCCCAACCCCACCCAAAGTCCTACTTAAAACCTCTAGGGTTCAGAGTGTGCTGTTGTCTGTTTATGGCCATCGCATTTTGGTTTCAGGGTCTTAGCGCTTTTGCACTTAGCCAAACGGTTAGGATTCAGGCGTTGCTTCGGTGACCAGTACCGCAACGACAGTTCCGTCTACTTCTAAGCCCAATGAGGGCACGTATGGCTACCCAAGAACCTTCAAGCACAAGGCGCAGCATCCTCCTATACATCCTAGACACTACACCCTGAACCGTACATCCTAACCCCAAGTTCACCCTAAACCGTAGATGCAATTTTAGGGTTAGTGCTGCTGGCGTGTTAGTCCCGACGACGTGCTGGTTCACAGTGCAGTCGGGCTCAGTTGCTCAGCTGTCCGACGGCACCGAGTAAACCCCAGATGCTATGCACTATGCACAGTCTTGAAAAAAAAGCCTTCGAAGCCCAAATCCTTCTGAACACGAGGCCTTCTACGCTCAAGAGCTCTTATGACAGCTGTTATGACACCTTGTGCAGCCCTACAAAGTCTTTTCAGTATACCGATAGTCCAGTTTCTCAGGCCCACCTGTTCAAGCACTACAGAAGCATATGAGCAACGTGGGCCCCAAGGACCCCGTAAAGAGAACCCTTGAAGCCTTATAGCCCTCAACACAAGAAACAACAACAAAGCAAGAACCACAACAAGAAGAACAACGAACACACTGACAACACAAAGCCGAGGTCGTCGACCCTGAGATCCTCCAGAATCCCGAGGCGTCCATTGCCAAGCTCAGCGAAAGGGAAGCTGGGAGCTGCTTTCAGCAGATTCTTTTTTGGGAGAGTAGATCCTTGGAATGGGGCAAGTAGCGGTTCTTGGCTACTATGAGGGTTCTAAGGGTTCTAAAAAGAAGGAGCTCCTCTCTTTGCAGCAGACTTTGGGATGTGTTTGGGGGGTTTTGAGCTTCTAGGGCTGTAGGTTGTGCCAAGACTTGCTTTTCTTCCTTGTTAGGTTCATATAGGGATTTACATTGCTTGTCATCTTTTTGGGGTGTTCTTAAGCACCTCGTAGCTTAGGGCCCCCTTGAACGCGTTCAGGAAATCCGGGCCGCCTTGGCGCTGCGCTCGGTCCCTGTCAGCAAGGACGACGACCGCAAAGTGCTCGAGGAGCTGCTCCGACCTCTGTGGTGAAAGGCACACAAAGCCCAGGAGTTTGCGGGCCCAAGGCCACCCTCTTTGCCCCCAACGACCTGGTTCAGGGTTTATGGGGTTTATAGGGTTTATAGGGTTTATCGGGTTTATCGGGTTTATCGGGTTTATCGAGTTTATAGGGTTTATAGGGTTTAGGGTCGGTTTCTGAGCGGCTGAATTCATTTTGGGGCTCCCGTCCGGGTGTCCAATGCTAGGCTGGCAGCTTCAGCCCAGGCTATGAGGGGTGGCCAACCACCACAATGCCCAGAGACTCCAGATTTGTTTTGAGTGAAGACAATTCCTTAGATTCCATGGGGGCAACGGATATGATGATTCAAGGGCTGTTTACTTGCTTCGCCTTTAGTTGAACTTTAAACTTTTTGGGTTTCCTCATTTAGTAGGAATATTAAAGTTTAACCTTTTTTGGCCTTGGTTATTGGAGAAGTAAGTTTAGTAAAATCACGTAGGACGTCTCAGAGGAACTCAAGGAAGCCTCCCGTAGAGCTAGTGGGGGCGCTACTAACTTTAGTTCAAGAAAGAACGTATCCTTGATTCAAGTGTTTTTGGAGCCTCCGGGAAGCTGTAGAGTTTAGGAATTTAGGGTTTATGGACCCGCGGGCCTCGCTCGGCAGTTCGCTGCTCCAGAAGGATGCACTCTCAGGTTTATTTGTTTCAGAAAGCGTGGCAAAAGGTGGCTGAGAAGATCCATGCCGGGCTATCTGGCCCTAGAATGGATGAACCGATTTAAAGCGGGGTTGGTTTACAACCCCGGGTCGATCAAAGCTAGCCTAAGCAAGCTTAAGCGTTGGCAAGAGTGAAGATGAGCCCCGAGGTGTCTGAAACTCATCCAGGACATGCAGCATGCGACATAACATGTGACAATGTCTGGAGGAATGGAATCGCAAGTTCCGCGTCTGCGACCAACACGTTTCCATACATGGAGGCAAGATAGGCACTATCCCTAAACCCGAAACCCTAAACCCTAAACCCTATACGCGCTGCCTCTAACGTGTTGTGAACTGGCGCGATGTGCAAGTGCGGTTGCAGAAGCCGGCGTCCCGCTTGACAACACCGTTCAGGCTCGGGAAGCAATAGCAGCAGCTTCGTATTGTCAATGACTGCCGTTGATACGAAACATGCATTGTACAGTAGATTTGACCATTAAAGGTGCAAATGTTCTCCTAGCATGTGACGTTGAGCGAGAGTCATTTGAGGAGCAAGCCTCGTACAAGGGGCGCAGCTGTTATGAAATAATGCTTCTTCCCAACCTTCAAATGGCCACACTGTGCTGCCAGGGTCACCCACCCGCCTTGCTTGCTGTCCGGGCCCCATACCAAGTTGGCGGAGCCTGCTCAGAGTGCAGCATGACAGTCTGGGAGCGTTGATGGTCAGCTTCGTGCGCCCCGACACGCGCAAGTAGTTCTTCAATGGAGTCAAGCTTGTTGAGACATGCCTCCAAATAGTCAATTTACAGACTATAAAAAGTTTCTAACTATTCCATAAATTATAGTGAAAAATCTATTAAATGTAGTTAATTCTTAATTATGAATATTAAAGATGCTACGGCCGGGTCCCCGGGTTGTATGTCTCCATGTGTGTCCTTTTGACTCCCTTCATGTGGGTGGTCGAGGGTGGCCTCGGCCCGGTCCATGGGCTGCTTGTCTCTGCTTGTCTCTCTTTGTCTCCCCCCTCAGGCAAGGATGTTAGCCCAACATCCACCCCTCAACGGTGGATGTTGGCGCAGCATCCACCCCTCAAGGGTGGATGTTGGCCCAACATCCACCCCTCAACGGTGGATGTTGGCGCAGCATCCACCCCTCAAGGGTGGATGTTGGCCCAACATCCACCCCTCAAGCGTGGATGTTGGCCCAGCATCCACCCCTCAAGCGTGGATGTTGGCCCAACAGCCACCCCTCAAGCGTGGATGTTGGCGCAGCATCCACCCCTCAAGTTGGCCCAACATACACCCCTCAAGGGTGGATGTTGGCCCAACATCCACCCCTCAACGGTGGATGTTGGCGCAGCATCCACCCCTCAAGTGTGGATGTTGGCCCAACATCCACCCCTCAAGCGTGGATGTTGGCCCAGCATCCACCCCTCAAGCGTGGATGTTGGCCCAACAGCCACCCCTCAAGCGTGGATGTTGGCGCAGCATCCACCCCTCAAGTTGGCCCAACATCCACCCCTCAAGGGTGGATGTTGGCCCAACATCCACCCCTCAACGGTGGATGTTGGCCCAGCATCCACCCCTCAAGGGTGGATGTTGGCCCAACATCCACCGCTCAAGCGTGGATGTTGGCGCAGCATCCACCCCTCAAGCGTGGATGTTGGCCCAACATCCACCCCTCAAGGGTGGATGTTGGCCCAACATCCACCCCTCAAGCGTGGATGTTGGCCCAGCATCCACCCCTCAAGGGTGGATGTTGGTCCAACAACCACCCCTCAAGGGTGGATGTTGGCCCAGCATCCACCCTTCAAGGGTGGATGTTGGCCCAACATCCACCCCTCAACGGTGGATGTTGGCCCAACATCCACCCCTCAAGCGTGGATGTTGGCCCAACATCCACCGCTCAAGCGTGGATGTTGGCGCAGCATCCACCCCTCAAGCGTGGATGTTGGCCCAACATCCACCCCTCAAGGGTGGATGTTGGCCCAACATCCACCCCTCAAGGGTGGATGTTGGCCCAACATCCACCCCTCAACGGTGGATGTTGGCGCAGCATCCACCCCTCAACGGTGGATGTTGGCGCAGCATCCACCCCTCAAGGGTGGATGTTGGCCCAACATCCACTCCTCAACGGTGGATGTTGGCGCAGCATCCACCCCTCAAGGGTGGATGTTGGCCCAACATCCACCCCTCAAGCGTGGATGTTGGCCCAGCATCCACCCCTCAAGCGTGGATGTTGGCCCAACATCCACCCCTCAAGCGTGGATGTTGGCGCAGCATCCACCCCTCAAGGGTGGATGTTGGCCCAACATCCACCCCTCAAGGGTGGATGTTGGCCCAACATCCACCCCTCAACGGTGGATGTTGGCCCAGCATCCACCCCTCAAGGGTGGATGTTGGCCCACATCCACCCCTCAAGGGTGGATGTTGGCCCAACATCCACCCCTCAACGGTGGATGTTGGCCCAGCATCCACCCCTCAAGGGTGGATGTTGGCCCAACATCCACCGCTCAAGCGTGGATGTTGGCGCAGCATCCACCCCTCAAGCGTGGATGTTGGCCCAACATCCACCCCTCAACGGTGGATGTTGGCGCAGCATCCACCCCTCAAGCGTGGATGTTGGCCCAACATCCACCCCTCAAGGGTGGCCCCTCAAGCGTGGATGTTGGCCCAACATCCACCCCTCAAGCGTGGATGTTGGCCCAACATCCACCCCTGAAGGGTGGATGTTGGCCCCAACATCCACCTCTCAAGGGTGGTTGTTGGCCCAACATCCACCCCTCAAGGGTGGATGTTTGCCCAACATCCACCCTTGAGTGGATGTTGGCCCAACATCCACCCCACAACCAACATCCACCCCTCAAGGGTGGATGCTGGCCCAAGATCCACCCCTCAAGATTGGATGTTGGCCCAACATCCGCCCCTCAAGCCGGGATGTTGGCGGCCCAACATCCACCCCTCAAACGTGGCTGTTGGCCCAACATCCAGCCCTCAACGGTGGATGTTGGCTCAACATCCACCCCTCAATCGTGGCTGTTGGCCCAACATCCACCCCTCAACGGTGGATTTTGGCCCAACATCCACGGCCCAACATCTACCCCTCAAGCGTGGCTGTTGGCCCAACATCCACCCCTCAACGGTGGATGTTGGCCCAACATCAACCCCTCAAGCGTGGATTAGGGGTGGATGTTGGCCCAACATGCACCCCTCAAGCGTGGATGTTGGCCCAACATCCACCCCTCAACGGTGGGTGTTGGCCCAACATCAACCCCTCAAGCGTGGATGTTGGCCCAACATCCACCCCTTAAGGGTGGATGTTGGCCCCTCATCCACCCCTCAAGCGTGGATGTTGGCCCAACATCCACCCCACAACCAACATCCACCCCTCAACATCCACCCCTCAACCACCCCTCGACGGTGGATGTTGGCCCAACATCCACCCCTCAACGGTGGATGTTGGCCCAACATCCACCCCTCAAGCGTGGATGTTGGCCCAACATGCACCCCTCATCCAGCCCTCAAGCGTGGATGTTGGCCCAACATCCACCCCTCAAGGGTGGATGTTGGCCCTTCATCCACCTCTCAAGCGTGGATGTTGGCCTAACATCCACCCCGCAAGCGCCCAACATCCACCCCTTAAGGGTATGTTGGCCCAACATGCTGGCCCAACATCCACCCCTCAACGGTGGATGTTGGCCCAACATCCACCCCTCAAGCGTGGATGTTGGCCCAACATCCACCCCTCAAGTGTGGATGTTGGCCCAACATCGGTGGATGTGGCCCAACGTCCACCTCTCAAGCGTGGATGTTGGCCCCTCATCCACCCCTCAAGCGTGGATGTTGGTCCAACATCCACCCCTCAAGCGTGGATGTTGGCCCAACATCCACCCCTCAAGCGCCCAACATGCACCCCTTAAGGGTGGATGTTGGCCCAACATGCACCCCTCAAGCGTGGATGTTGGCCCAACATCCACCCCTCAACGGTGGATGTTGGCCCAACATCCACCCCTCAAGCGTGGATGTTGGCCCAACATGCACCCCTGAAGCGTGGATGTTGGCCCAACATCGGTGAATGTTGGCCCACCCCTCAAGCGTGGATGTTGGCCCAACAGCCCAACCATCCACCCCTCAAGGAAGGATGTTGGCCCAACATCCATCCCTCAAGCGTGCATGTTGGCCCAAAATCCACCCCCGTGGATGTTGGCCCAACATCCACCCCTCAAGCGTGGATGTTGGCCAAACATCCACCCCTCAAGCGTGGATGTTGGCCCAACATCCACCACTCACGCGTGGACGTTGGCCCAACATCCACCCCTCAAGGGTGGATGTTGAC